ATAGATCGATCTATCGATTGATCGAGTTGGAAAAAAAATCGTGTTAGGAAATGGAGAATTTTATTTACGAATGAACGAATTTTAAAAAAAAATTATTTAAAATTAATTTTTTTTTACGCGGAAATAAAAAAAAATAAAAACAAACAAACAAACGGGAAAAAAAATTTCCGCGTAATTTTATACGTTTGTCAGAGGTGGGGGGTGTTGGGGGGTGGGGATGCGGTTGATTACGTAAAGGATATCCGACCATTCGAAATGATTTTCACAAAAAAAAAAATTTTTTTGTTAGTTATTAAAGGCAAATTTTTTAACACAAACTCACACCCTCCCCATACCGGTAAATCGTTTGTTCGTTTGTTTGTTTGTCAACAAAATAACGCGCACGCACACACACTATTTAATGCATTCAATGATTGATGTTAGTTTTGAATGAGTTAGAAGAAGAGAAAAAAATTTTTTTTTAAACAATAAAATTTTAATGCATTATTCATGTTTTTAACTAAAACTAAACTTTTTTTTAAAAAAAAAAAAAAAAAAAAAAAACGCAGTTTTTCTTGTTTGCCCAGTTTTTCTCTCTCTCTCTCTTTCTCTACCCCCTCCCCATCCCCTCTCTTTTGCTCCCCAAAAAAAAAATTTTACTTCATAACTTTTAGAAATAATATTTAATAAATTTTTTTTTTTTCATTTTTTTATGAAAGTGATTAAAGAAAACGCGAACGTTTTGAAACTTTTTTCATTTTTTGTTTTTTTTTTTTTTTATAATGTTAAATAATATACTCTATTTATATATTTTCCAAAATTGTTTTATGTTTACCAAAATAATAATAATAATAATTTTTTTTTGGCAACAGGTTTTTTTTTTTCTTCATATCTCGACTTAATTTTTTTTTTTTTTTTTTTATAATAAAAAAAAATTCAATGAAAGCTTTTTTGGCCTATTTAGTTTATTGGATTTTTTTTTTTTTTATTCTTATCTAAATGGATTTTGTCGGAGGGGCTTCCAGAAATGAGTTCCTTTCTTCCCCACCCCTACCCCCTCTACTTCCTCCTCCCCGTCTTTTATTTTTTTTTATTCATTTATTGATGAGTAAATGGATTTTGAATGGGAAATTTTTTTTTTTTTTTTTTTATTTTTTATTTCATTTTTTACATTAAGGGTAAAAGTTAATAAATAAAAACAAAATGGCGGCCGCCGTCATCGTCATCGTCTTCGTGGTTTATTTAAATTTAAAAAAAAAATCTTAATGAGTGACATAAAATAAAATTTTAGGAGAAATTTTCTAGAAAAAAAAAAAAAAATTTCGATCGTTTTAGTTTTTTACTTTTTTTTTTATTTTCCAGTTTCGATTGAAATCAATCATAAAAAAACGTTTTTGTTTTTTTTGTTATGATTCGATATTTGATATCCGGTGTCGTGGTTTTAAAAATTTCATAACGAAAAGTGAATTAAACCGAATAAAAAGTGACGGAAGAAAAGTAAAAAAAAAAAAGGAAAAACTTGTTTTTTAAAATTATTTCTCCACCCTTTTACGATATGAAAAAAAAAAAAAAATTCGTCGGTTGTTATAAAACATAACAAACGAACAAACAAACAAACAAACAAACGAAAAGAACAAAACAATTTTTTTTTTTTTTTTGTTAAAAAAGGAATAATTTATTGTCGGTGAAAAATAAAAAAAAAATTTAAACTCCTCCTCTTCCTTCTCTTCTTCTTCTTCTCTTATTTTATTAATAAATTTTATTTATTTATTTATTTATTTACTCTATGGTTTTTTTTGTTTACTTTTTAAACGCGAAACGAAAATTTTTTTTGGATTGGGGAGGAAGGGGAGGATGGGGGGCGGGAAAAAAGGAAATTATTAAAATTAAAAAATGATTTTCCGTTTTTTTTTGTTTAATTAAAACTATTAATTATTTTATGAAAAAAATTATTATTATTATTATTATGGGGGGATTCATTTTGAATTTGTTATTTTTATTATGTTACTATGAATTGGT